GGGATCAGGATGGTCTCACGAGGCTAGTTTCTTGTTGTTACATTGACATTTATTTTTCCATCAAAATATCCATACATTTTGAACATTACCAAGGTAATAAGTGCTTGTCCTGGATTCCAATAACACTATTGGCTTGAAATTTTGATTTTCATAGTGTTTCACTGAGTGCCCTATAAAGGGTTACGATTTAAAATCTAAAAAGTGTAGCATGAACTGGATGATTCTAAAACATGAATATATTTGATCCCAAATGATTCCATTGAGACCTTGGCTGTTATTCTTTGGGTTACTGCCTTGTTTTAAGGTGAACAAGCATTACGCTGTCAAGGATTTTGCATTTGGGCTGCTCAGTGATGCAGTGGGTAGCACTGCTGCCTTGCAGCAAGAAGGTTCCGGGTTCGATTTCTCTGTCTGCATGGAGTTTGCATGTTCTCCCTGCGCATGCGTGGGTTCTCTCCGGGTACTCCCACAGTCCAGAAACATCAGTGTTAGGTTAATTCTCTAAATCCTCCTTAGATGTGAGCGTGTGAATGGTTGTATGTCCTGTTTGTCTCTGTGTTGCCCTGCGATGGACTGGAGACCTGTCCAGGGTGGACCCCACCTCTCACCTGTAGACAGCTGGAGATAGGCACCAGCACCCTTCACCACCCCGCTTGGGATAAGCATATCGTAACGTTTTAATTCAGGATAACCTTGTACTTCTCTTTGAGCCACTCCCAGTCTCCAGCACTTCACTCCCAAGTTTCAGCATATTAACACTTGTACAGAATATAAAAATGTCAATTTTTCATTCAAAAAAGAACACTTTCACATTACAAAATTCTCTTATAACTTCTGATCATAACACCCTCTTTCACATATTTACTGTTTTCCCTTTAAAGTTCTCGGAAAACTACAAACAGGACCTCCTCTTCTCAGCCTGTCTTTAAGAGGTCAGATTTGTGCCTTTCAGTTTAGGTAGTTGATCACATCTTGGTAGTTTTGCAGTTTTCTCATACATGAATACTTTTTAGACATCACTAAGCTTGGAGTACTGTTTTTATCTTTGTGATGCTGGTTGTTCTTAATTAAAATACACTGAAAGTTGTTGGAATAACATGACGAAATGTTGTTGGAGAAGTTTTGTAAAGCACAACAGCTGTTAAAGGATGTTTTCCTGATGTAATACACCTCAATATATAATGCAATGTATCTTAGTACTGACATCGCCAGAGGAGCATTTAGTTGTTCCAGCATCTACTAATGGTTGTACTTAATATTGCAACTACATCATCTGAGTCTTTGGAGACCCAAGGAATGAGTCACTGCATTAGAAAGGGCAAAATCAATAGCAGGAATACTCAGGGTCTCTTTTCTCTTTTATCAGAAGTCAAATGTGCTTTTTATTTCATGCTTTACTTCATTGATTCATTTCAGAATTGCCTTTTTTTTAACATGAGGTCTGAGTCAGAAGATGATTAAAGTACGGGATCAGACAGAGAAACTGCGGAAGATGGATTTGGCTTTTTCTGTTGGCAAAATTAACTTGAACAGCGGAACATCACAATTTATGTTCGACTACCTACTTACCTTGAAATTTGATCTCAAACACATCGTCATGGGGTATAGGACTTGGATGCTGGGAGCTGATGCTGGACTTGCAGTAGTTGGGAGAGCCTGGTTGGGGTGCTCTGGGGATATGTCTGTTTTTTTTCTTTGGTAGTTTCTGTTTAGCCATTGCCAGGGAGTAGTACATTCCAAAATTGTTGACAATTACGGGTACGGGCATGGCGATGGTCAGCACGCCTGCCAGGGCACACAGAGCTCCCACCAGCATACCAAAGGTCGTCTGAGGGTACATATCGCCATAGCCGAGGGTCGTCATCGTCACCACCGCCCACCAGAATCCGATCGGGATGTTCTTGAACTGTGTATGCTCACTGGCTCTTGGGTCGTTGGGGTCAGCTCCAATGCGTTCTGCGTAGTAGATCATAGTGGCAAAGATGAGGACGCCCAGAGCCAGGAAGATGATGAGTAGGAGGAATTCGTTGGTGCTGGCCCTCAGAGTGTGACCTAGCACTCGCAACCCCACAAAGTGACGGGTTAGCTTGAAGATACGGAGGATCCGCACAAAGCGGACCACTCTCAGGAATCCCAGCACGTCTTTCGCTGCCTTGGAGGAGAGTCCACTGAGGCTCACCTCCAGGTAGAAGGGCAGGATGGCAACAAAATCGATGATGTTGAGAGCGTTCCGAATGAAGTCAAATTTGTTTGGACAGAAAGTTATTCGCATCAGAAATTCAAAAGTGAACCAAACCACGCAGACGCCCTCGATGTAGGTGAGGTAGGCTGCCGTCTCGGTCTCCTGGTACGTGCTCACTATGGTTTCGTTGTCCACTAGCTCCGTGTCAGTTCGATTCACAATGGGGTTGAAGGCTTCGTGGGTCTCCAGACAGAAGGTGGTGATGGACACAAGAATGAAGAAGAGTGATGCCAGAGCAATCCACTGTGAGGGTTAGAAAGAAGGGAGAGGAGGATGAGCACTGGAACACATTCAGTGTAATCAAGCTTTAATGCCTTGGCAACCATTCATCACGCAATTCAGCTTAATCTATCGTTTTGATATAACATCTGATATATTTGGAGCTCAGGGTGATTTCTGTTTTTGCTCTAATAGGGGATGAACTATAAGACCTTGTTCTATATAATTTTGCAAAATTTCAAGGTCACTGCATTTTGATGAGTGTCCTATATGCAGAGTTAAACAGAGCCTGCAACAGCTAGAGCAAAAGTAAGAAATGGGGCATTTTTGTAATCCCTCTTACTAATTTTAGTCTGGGCATCTCCCTTCAGCTCAACCACTGCTGTGGGTCTTCCCTACACAAGGTCACACTGTCCTGAGGATCAGCCCCTGGGACTTCACTGGAGCTTAGAGAAACCACCAATTCACCTAATGGCTAAAGCGAGATTCACCCTTCATTATGTATTGATTAGATTCTCAGATTTCATCACATTTGGGTCGAGAAGTTCTGGTGCATGCAACATGAAAGTAACAGACGATCTCTCTGGGGTGCAGAGTGCAAGCCTTCATCATGTGGTCTTCCTTATGCTATCTGCCTCCGATCGTGCTGAACTGGTTTACAGCAGGTGTTATTTAATCCATCATTTTATACCTTTGCAGTTTAAGAAATAAAGCTCTCTGCAGGAAGATGCTTCATAGCAACCATGCATAAATTCAGGCCTCCTATGGGGAAAAGTTGTACGTGCTTTGGTTGTCGATGAGTTTAAGTTTTTTTTATTGTCTTCTTTGTCTACTGTAAGGAAATGTGGTTATATGACTCCAATAAATGAAATTTACAAAGGCGTCATAATATGTGAATGTTCAGGAGAGCCGATTGGCACCAACTAAGACCAGGACCACACCAAATAGGAATACAGTTACACACAAAAGGATTCAACCCCAACTGTAAATAAAGTGCAGTGGAATTTCAAAACAGGGATTCAAATTGACCTCTAAATCCTACTTTCAGTGACTGTTGTTTCTCAAGAATATTTGACATGTTTGAAAATCAGGTTGTTTTTTATCTCAGCCCTCTCTTTTTAGTTGGTTCCTGTCAGGGTTTAGTTACTCTCTATCGCCCCCATGTGCTTGTTTCCTTTCCCCTTGCCTTCCTTTCAGTTCGTTCCACTCACACCTGCTCCATATTCAGCTCATTAGTTTATCCTTTGTTCTGTTTCCCTTATATACTCCACCTCTGCAGTCACTCAGCGCTGGTTTGTTGTTTGTTGTAGTTTTCCCTAAAGTTTTCTTTTCTTTTTTTTTTTTTTTCGTATTTTTGACTTAGTTTACTCATTAAACTACAAGACTCACCTCTGCTTCCTGAGCTCTGCAATTGGATCCTCAAAAACCTCCACTAAACCATGACAGACAATCAATGATGCAACCAGTCATTCAAAGGTTGCACCAGGTAGGCTTTGCTTAAACACCCTAAATACAGTTGAAGGTAATGTCTAATATTCCGTAAAAATTCAAAAAATATCCACTGGACTTGGTTTCCATGATTTGAAGACGTTTCGCCACCTCTCCAGGAAGCTTTCTCAATTCAAATGTGAAAGCTTCCTGGAGAGGTGGCGGAATGTCTTCAAATCATGGAAACCAAGTCCAGTGGATATTTTTGGAATTTTTACGGAATGACAATGACCTGGATGACTGAGAACCTTCATCAGCGTAATGTCTAATACCATGGTTGGCAATATAGTCATATACTAATATAGTCATGTTTAGGGGAACACCGTTTCTTTTTCCATTGCGCCCTTGATTTTACGTTATTACATCATGTTCTACTCACCCATATGAGTGTTGCGTCATTTGGAGCCGTTCTAAACATACTTGGTTTTGTTATATCCAAATAACGTCTTCCTATGGCCAACGAGTTGAAGGGACAAACCATAAATAATAAATGATGAACAGTTTAGTATGTGCCTTCAACTCGTTGGCCATAGGAAGATGTTACTTGGATATAACGGAATATCTTCAGAACGGCTCCAAATGACACTAAACTCATATGGGTGAGTAGAACATGATGGAATTAGGCTTGTCCCGATCCGATCCACGTATCGGATCGGGACGCCGATATTGGCAAAAAAATGTGTATCGGCAAAGCATGTAAAATGCCGATCCAGACTGCCGATCCAGTTTTTTTTT